AATCTGTTCCAAGGTAATCTAAAAATAGAATTAATATATCATGTAGGACCTGACATTAGTTGTTAATATATCACCTAACTGTTTCTGTTACAGCCGACCGAAATTAGTTGTAATTCATAATCGGTTGTGTGTCAAGATAAGGTAGGATTCAGTGTGGATTCTAGTTTAGATCACACACACTGTAGCTCATGAGTGATGCAAGCACTAGTGAGGAGGAGTTGCTAGCGGACGACTGCAGGACAACTCGCGGGACTGCTCGTAGTCGACCCTTGACATTCTTGGAGTTAGGTCCAGGAGACGAGAGAAGATTGCGGAGAGAGGCTAGAGAGAGAGCAGTGGCAAGGAGAGTGAGGGCAGCTGAGGATAGTGCCAGGTCTAGAATTTCAGCTAGTACTGGTGCAACCATGGCTACCTCATCCATGTCGCAAGCCTCTACACAATCCACTTCGTCAGGAGTCAGTCAGAGTGGTTCTCAGGTTTCCACTAGTCATATTGCTAGCTTGCAAGTCAGCCAGCAAATTCAACTCACGCCGGAGGACTTAGAAATCCAGCAAGCAGAAGAACTTCGGGATGAGCTACAACGGCAATTGGACGAGGCAGCAGAGAGGAGAAGAAAAGCCATACTTAGGAAGGCTAGACTAGGGAGTAGAATGCAGAAGCTAGGCAGACTGTAAGGACTAGATGAGGCAGCATTAAACCCTACTTGTCGTGTGCTGCGTAATGCTTTACTTTCAGTAGCTGAAGCGCAGAACGTCCAGCAGGAATTGCAGGCCGAATTGGTTGCAGGCCAGAAACAAATCCTGGCTGAACTTCGAGCTCCTCGCATAGCAGTGAGGCAGCCACAGGTTGCTGTAGTTCCCCCTGTAGGTGCCGGTCCTTCATCGATGCCGCAACACACTGGGTCCACTTTCTCTCCTATGTTTGGCATGCCCCCTCCAGGTGGTTTAGCAGCAACTAGTGGTCCGGTTCAAAGAGTCTCCGCCGTACCATCCACGACACTGGTAACTACAGTCCCACTGTCAAGCCAGGCCCAGGTTAGTGTGCAACAGCCTGTTTCAGTGGCTATGCAGCCGCTGCAGCAAGCCCCTGGGCCCATGCAGCCTATGCAGTGGATGCCTAAGATACCCTTGATGAGTCCCAAGCCCTTCTCTGGTGACAGAAAGAAGGAAGACGACTTAGACAGCTGGGGTCTGCACATAAGGTATCTCATGATGGTAGGAAGAGACTCCCCCAGGACTGGAAAAAGGTCAGTTAATGTTCGTTGACCATGATGGTCAAACGACGCAGATTGATGAATTCCCAGACCTTGGGGAGTTGACAGAGCAGGATGGGGCTAGTGAGACTTCAGATGGTGGAGTCGTGGCACCTATCAAGGAAAAGGCTGGGGGACCGGGAAGAAGAAGGTAGGACGGTCTGCGGGTCAGGGAGACCAAGGGACACCCGCATGGGTAAAGCTTGGTTTGGATTACGAGGTGTGGAGGGACCGAGTTGCCAGGGGCACATGCATGAACTGTGGCAACTATGGCCACACGTCCAGGACTTGTCGCGGCAAGAAGGTCACCACGAAGGTAGCCTCACCAACGGTGGTGGGCTTATCTTCAAATCCTGGGAGTGCTTCTGCGAGCAGCTCACAGGGAAACACCTCGGGCCAGTAGGAGTGTTAGCCGCTCTTACTCGTGCTGAACAAGTAACGTTGCCTTCCCCACTTCAGGCGTTGGCCAAAGCCAGAGACCCACGCATCGCCCCGCAGACACATTCAAACCCACCGACACTCTGTTTGAGAGATGTGTCTGAGGCCCTAGAAGAGTTAGAGACTGAGTGGTCAGGGAAGGATCCCAGGGACTCTTTGGCGATGATCAGTAGAGGTCCAAAGGGTGAACATTTCGTGGTAGAAGTAGATGTAGGTGGCCGCAAGGTTGGCGCCTTCGCAGACATAGGCTCTACACGAAATTTCATCAGTCGTGCTTGTGTGGATAGACTGCGCTTAGGGGACCAAGTGCAGCGGCTTAGCAGAACTGTAGCTTCTACGCTAGCCAACAAGCACCAAATGTTGGTGAAAGACTATGTCAAGGACGTAGTCTGCACCTTCTCTTATGGAGGAGGGGAAGTGAGTCATAAAATCTCCTTCCTGGTTAGCGACGAATTGCCATTTGACATGCTCCTAGGTATGTACTACCTCGAGGTTGCGCAACCGCAGTTTGACTTGGATAGAAAGGTATTGATTCACAAGTTGCCCAACGGTAGATATGTTAGATTGCAAAAGTTCAAAGCTAACTGTCTAATAGAAAACTACGGGTGCATGTGTGCATTCTCCTTCTATAACTATTATAAGCAGAATCGCAAGGAGGGCATGTATCTAGTACTTGTCTCTGAGAAAGGGGAGGCCGTTAAAACAACCCCAGAGATAGAAACAGTCGTCGCACAATATTCAGACCTTTTTGAGGAGCCTACAGGCGTGGTGGAAAGGGAGATTGTACATGCGATAGAGATTGTCCCAGGTAGCAAGGTGCCTAGAGGACGAATCTATAGGATGTTTCCCGCGGAGTTAGATGAGCTTCGCCGCGAGCTCAAGGAACTCACAGAGAAGGGATGGATACGTCCTAGTTCCTCCCCTTACGGTGCGCCAGTCTTATTTGTTCCAAAGAAGGGAGGTCCATTAAGGATGTGCATTGACTATAGGGGCCTCAATGCCATCACCATTAAGAACGCGGAGCCCCTACACCGCATTGACGACCTCTTGGATAGAGTGCAGGGATGCCGGTACTTCACAAAGATAGATCTGAAGTCCGGATACCATCAAATTGCCGCTAGACCTGAGGACCAACACAAAACCGCATTTCAGACCAGGTACGGTCTGTACGAGTTTGTGGTGATTCCTTTTGGCCTATGCAATGCACCTGGTACATTCCAGCACGCGATGAACAGGATTTTTCATGACTACTTGGACAAGTTTATCGTCGTGTACCTCGACGATATTCTCATATTTAGTAGGACTGTAGAGGAGCACGCTGAACACTTGAAAATAGTGCTAGGTCTCCTAAGATAGCACCAGTACAAGGTAAACTTGGATAAATGTGAGTTTGGTCGCACCAAGATCTTGTACTTGGGTCATGAAATTTCAGCAGATGGATTGAGGCCGAAGGATGCGAAGGTGGCCAACATACGTGACTGGCCCCTACCTCAGACTGTTACTGAGGTCAGATCGTTTTTGGGGATGACGGGCTATTATCGTCCGTTTGTGAAAAACTATAGTACTATAGCTTCCCCATTAATAGATCTAACTCGACTTGACACCCCTTGGGAGTGGACTGAAGAGTGTGAGGCAAGCTTCAAGAAATTGAAGTATGCTCTGACACACTACGAAGTTCTCAAACTTTCGGATCCTGACAAGCCGTTCGTCGTGACCATAGACGCTAGCCAATATGGCATAGGCGCGGTCCTTGCGCAACAGGAAGGGCCCAAGTTGAGACCGATAGAGTACATGAGTAAAAAGATGCCTTCTCAAAAGTTAGCTAAGTCCACTTACGAGAGAGAGCTCTACGCCCTATACAGAGCGCCAGTTCATTGGAGACACTACCTCCTAGGAAGATTCTTCTATGTAAGTTCTGACCATGAGACTTTGCGCTGGATTTAAGACACAGCCTGTGTTGTCGGACGCACTCAAGAGATGGATTCAAGTGATAGACATGTATGACTATCAACTTGACCCTATCAAGGGTACGTACAACAAGGTGGCTGATGCGCTATTAAGGAGGGCAGATTATCTGGGCGCGCTAGTCACTGAGTTTGGCATACCTGACGAACTCACTCGATCGCTGGTGGAAGCCTATCAGGGAGACCCAGTCATGTCAGAAATCATCCGTAGATTCCAAGCAAAAGACAAGAAGACTTTGGATGAATTTACGATGGTAGGTGGCTTGCTGTTCCTTGAGAAGGCAGGGAATAAAAGATTATGTGTAGCTAATAGCGAATCTTTACGTAGTTTGTTTTTAGGAGAATGTCATGATGCAACGAGACATTTTGGCTATAGAAAGACATCAGTAAATTTAGTACAAAGATTCTGGTGGCCCTCTATGTTGGAAGATGCAAAACGTTATGTTGAAACCTGCCAGGTTTGTCAAATGGACAAACCAAGGACTCAGGCTCCGCTTGGGTTGATCAAACCCTTGTCGATCCATGAAGGTCCTGGCCAGAGTGTGTCCATGGATTTCATGGATACCCTTGTGACCARCARGWCAGGAAAGAGACACATCTTTGTCATAGTGGACCGTTTTACCAAGTACGCCAGACTGATCGCTATGCCTGAAACTGCTAGAACTGATTTCGTCATCAAACTTTTCATGGACAACTGGGTAAGAGACTTTGGTCTACCTACATCTATTGTAAGTGACAGGGATGTCAAGTTCACGAGCGAATTGTGGCAATCTACTGCTGAGCAATTAGGCACCAAACTCCAAATGACTTCAGGAAATCATTCTGAGTCAAATGGACAAGCCGAGCAGATGAACCGAGTAGTACAGCACCTACTTAAGCATTATATCAAGCCAAGTTAGGATGACTGGGACGAGAAACTACCTCTCGTCGCCAGCCTGTACAATAACGCTGTGCATAGTACTACCGGCATGACTCCCAACCAATTGCATCTTGGTTGGAAGCCCCAGACTGCTCTTGATTTCCTGCTACCGGAAAGGGAACCCACTCCAGCACCTGGCAGCATAGAATTTGCTATCAAATATGAACAGATGCTGCAGCAGGCCATTGAACATATTAGGAAGTCTCAGGATGCTATGATTGCATTTGAGAATAAGCATAGACGGCCCTCTAACTTTCAGGTAGGTGATAGAGTCTGGGTAAAATCATCTGAACTAGGGCAGGAATTGGGAATATCTAGAAAGTTGATGCCACAGTATTTTGGGCCCTGGGAGATCTTGGACATTGTAGGGGTTCAACCAGATGGGCCTTCATACGGGATCTGTATTCCCGCACACCTACGCACTTACCCTATATTCCATGCTTCCAAGTTGGCATCTTTCGCTGCTACAGCGCAGTTTCCCTCTCGGAGATCAATGCTGCCCCCAACCATGGATGGCGAAGTGGACATTGACCAGATCGTCGAGCATCGAGTGATGCCTGTTCCGGGACCATCAGGCAGAGGACGACCTCCTAAACCGAGAATGCAGTATCGTGTGAGCTTCAGACATCATCTGGATCCTAAAGAAGACCGGTGGTTCACACGAGAAGAACTCATGAGAACAGCACCTCAAGTAATCGCAGGCTATGAATGAGCACTCAAGGGGAAGATGCCTGCAGAATAAGAGACTTCTCAGAGGACTCACGAAGTAAAGGAGGAGGGAATGCGAGGATCAGGGTCCTCGGTAGGCCTATGGGGCCCTGTTTGTAGCCTTACCCGCCCTAAGTGAAGGCGGAGGTGCCTGCCCTAAGTGAAGGCGGGCCTGGCTTTTTGCAAGAGGCCCGCGACTGTCAATTTCATATTTGGGGTCCAGCCAGTTGCGACGCGCCAGTTGGTTGAAAGAAACACAGGCCGAGCACCGAAGACATTTCCACGGCCTACCGGGCCTTTCCAAAGAATGCAGGCCCTGGGCGTGATTCGCAGCCTCATACAGAGACAGTTGGGCGCCCAACCGAACGAGGCCCAGCAGCCCAGTAGYTGCTGCATCCAGGCAGCCTCCTGGGGCCTTCCGGAAGCTTCTGGGCCCAGGCCAGCCCAGCCAGGCTGCGAGAGCTGGCCAACTCTTTTCCATAAAGGAAAGAGCTCCGGCCAGGCAGCCTCATTCAGGCACTCGCATGGTAGCGGCAGCGCTGCTGGAGCAAAGGCTCGCGGTTGCTGGCTGGCGCTGAGAGGCGAGGTGCAGCGCGGTCGTGCAGAGGAGGAGGGCGCTGCTGAGGGCAGCGCCATAGCCCAGCCACCATAGCTGGTGGGCTTGGACTACAGTGAAGCGCAGGGGTGGTCTTCGGGTGAAAGAGAGGACAGGTGTGGGTGTAGTCAGGGGATAGGTGAAGGATGATGATGATGAYGATGATGTGAGGGCACTTACYTTGTATTGGCGATGGTCTGCATGGGCGACATCTTCAAGTACTTCGGGCTGCCGCTGATGTCAACAGTTGCATTGTCTTTTTGTAGTCTGTAGTAGCYGTGTAGGAGTAGGCTGGGCGCTGAGCGCCAAGTGTGAGTRTGAAGGAACTGGACTCTTGTGTTGGGAGGAGAGAGTATGCTCTCMATGAACATTGGTTTTCAGTGCWACGAACCTCCATTGGTGTAWTATTGGTGCAATGCTGCTCTCTGGACACGGTGTGACTATTTGGCTTTCAATGTGATGGTGTGATCTGGAATTGTCATCTCGCTGTTACTTATTTTCCTTGCATGTGTTTCCATAACAAGTAAAGCAGTCGGAGTACCTGCACCAGCTTGGTCTGACACCTTGGCAACTGTTTCTAATAAATGAGGATGTGGATAAAACACATCTCCTGGGAAAGATTCTCAACCTGGTGGTCGATGTAACAATAATGACATTTGTCTATATGCCACAGATTAACAATAATGACATTTGTCAATTATGCCACTTCTTTTTTTTTTTTTTTTTTTTGGACCATTTCTCGATTTATGCGTGTCATCCTCGCGCAGGGGCCATGCTAATCTTCTCTGTATCGTTCCAATTTTAACGGATGTCCCGTGTCAATTATGCCACTGATTGTTGCATAGAAGCTATTTTGCCTGTCTGATACAGTCTCGATGAGGGTTGGTTGTGTTCAGGGGAAGATGATAGTAATACATCACTGCTGGTATAAATATTGATAGACAGGTTGAGAGTTGGGATCCTGTCTGAAACAATAACATTGGCGGCCACCTACAGTCGAATGGTAAGAGTTTCCAGAATTTTCTACAGATGCCACACTTGAACAAGCTGACCGGCGAAAAATAGCTTGGATAGGTTCGAAGCTTCACAACAGCAGGGTTAACTCTATTTATTCACACTATTATAATCATAATTTGATCAAATATTTATTATTTATTGATGCGCAATACAACGACTGGAAAAAGAAAAAAAACGAAAGGAGATTTAAAGAATGAACCAACCTTCTCAGTGTCCTCGGGAGGCTCCTTGCCAGCAAGGCTCTGTGCATCACTTGCTCTCCTCTCCTTAATCTTGTCCTGTTAACAGTTGCAAGGAATATGAGTGAGACCGATATGCAGAAAACCGAGTTGCAAAATCACGCAGAAGTCCAGATAGTCATGTACAAGCAGAGAGCTCAAATGCACCAAGATTCCATCAAATAAGAGCAATAAAATGAGCCAATGTTCAATCCCTCAGGCCGCACCAACGCAGTATTCAATGTCGCTCCTCTCTGTCTGGCGCCCAGCGCCCAGCCTACTCTACTAGCCTACCTAGCCTATCTACGTTCATGCAACAGGCTCACTTCGACTTTGAAGACCAATGTACATGTCGTCAACACCAACGAGGACCTCCCACATACACCAGGTACATATCCTCGTCTCCCCTCATCACCCCCTGACCACCCACTTCAGCGCCTCCTCTCGAAGACCCTTGTCGCCCTCCTCTGCCTCGCGCCCTGCAGCCCGGCTATGGCCGTTAGCGTCCCGCTGCCCTGCAGCGCCCATCACCTCTCAGCCCCCCCGCGCGCCCCAGCCAGCTAGCGCATACAGACATTTGCTTGCCAGCGCAGCAGCGTGTCCGCATTGCCTGCCCAGGCCAGAGTGCCTTCCTTGGCTGGCCTACTTCCTATATGGAAGTGGAAGCTGCTGCTGGACTCCATGGGCCTGGCCGTGGAAGTTTCCAGTAGCTTCTGGTTGGTCCCCAGTGTCTGCACCCAGGCCCATTTCCATAGTTGAGGGCCTGGCCCCTTTTCAGTTGGGCACACCCCGCATTTTCCAGGCTCCGAATGTTCACTGCATTTGCACTGGCCCACAGGGTAGATACGACGACAATGCTGCTTTCCTGTTGGCCCGTGGCCACCTCGTGAAGTGTCGGCCTCACAATGTGCATGCCTGGGGCACAACCACCCGGGCCCTGCGCTCAACTGCCTGCCACAGTTTCTTCCAGAGCCCAGGGTAAGGCTCAGGTTGCACTTCAACCAACTGTCGTGCAGCAACTTTCTGAGACCCGAATTGGAAAATGCGGACGTAAGGGCCTCTTGTGGATATTCAGGCCCGCCTTCACTTAGGGCGGGCACGAGGCTTGCTGGGGACCACAGTCAGACCATATCCATGTTGTCTAAGGGCCCCTGAGGACACATTCGTCACACAGTTTTGCAGAATTGATCTCTCTCTCTCTCTCTCTCTCTCTCTCACACACACACACACACACACACACACACACACACACACAAACCAACAATTTTTCTGTTTCCCAACCAATCCAAAGTTGTCCTCCCTCACTGAATGGCGCACACCCTTTGGATTTTGACCATCAAAACCAAGGCAATAATGTCGAAGGATATATGAGTCATCTTTCCAGAAAGAGCTAATCCTCAATTGCCAGGCCCCACTTCTGCACTATGATTGGGCTCAGAAAGGATGACCAAACCGCAAAAATGGCCATGTTCTTGCTTTCTGCCAACCTCCCGCAGCATTTTCCAACAACCACCTTTTCTGAAGTTTTTTTCCAAGCTACTTGCGCCGGCTGGCCGAGCATCCAGTCAAGTCGCCCAGGGGAGTTGGTCTACCAGGGTACCCAGTCATGGGAATAAGTGAGGTCTTTTTTTTTTTTCTTTTTTTCTTTTTTTGAGGAAGTTGCAGCTTATGCCCTTCGGGATGGCCCCTGCGCAAGGATGACACGCATAAATCGACAAATGGTCTAAATTATTAAAAAAAAAAAAAAAAGGAAGTGCAAGGAATATGAGTGTGAACGATATACAGAAAACCAAGTTGCGAAATCACACAGATGTCCAGGTAGTCGTATCCAAGCAGAGTACAAAATGCACCGAGAAACCATCCATATACAGCAATCCAATGAAGTAATGAATCGATGTTCAAGCCCGTAGGCCACACCAACACAGTATCCAAAGTCGCTCCTTTCTGTCTGGCGCCCAGCCCCCCACATACTCTCCCCGACTATCCTACCTACAGCTGGTTCACGCAACAGGCTCACTTGGACTCTCGAAGACCAATGTACATGACTGTCAACTCCATAGCCG